TGCTAGTTGTTATTGTTACTATTACCTTTCTTGTAAACTTTAATCATGAACTTCCCATCTATAATTTTAGAATGATTTGGTGTGATTTCCTAGGAATGGGACAGGCCATACTCAAAGTTGACATCTGCAGAAAGTTCCTTACAGTGATATGTGGCAGTGTATTTCATAACAGCTCTGCTCTCTAAGGGCTTTCAAGACAGATCTGCAGAAACGTCAACAATGAAACGGGCTGAAGAGAAGTGACCTACTGTCTGTTCGCCTCTGACACCATCAGGAAACTTGCCAGCTGGGTTCCAAGAGCAGATTCTTTATTACAGTGATGATGTAAGAAGCAGAGACAACAGCTGGATTTTCAGGTTCTAGGGAGAATTTGTGGCATCAGCAGCCCCTCAAAATTATCTTTTGACTTAAAAACCGAGTGCACTGGATGTGAAAGTCATTAAAAGAGAATAAATGTGAAACCCCATGAAGTCATTCTCACTGAGTCTTTATTTTAGAGTGTAACCACCCTTTAAGCAATGAAACATGACACACTATGCAGTGGTTCTGATTAATAGACACTCAGGTGTGTACTAAGGCAACAGGGAAAAAAAGAGGGAGCTAGGTGACAATTTGCCAAAAAATGAAAGTAAGATTATAGCAGCAGGATGTGGGGCTGAGAAAGAAGGATTTAATTAAAGGACAGACATATTATGGTTGTATTAATTATAAAATGCACAATTTAAATCAAATGTTAGATATATTTAAAATGTACATTTATATAATTACACAAAGGATTTGTAAATTTGCCAGATAATTTTTCACTGCAATGTACTATTGATGAGTGATTTCCTTTATCATTTTAATGTAGTTGCCAGGGGGCAAAAGTAGAAGGAAGTTCTATCTGGTGAAGTGTCGATAATCTGTCCAGCCTTATGACGGGTTAGAACAATGAAGAGCTCTTGAGCCCATTTTGCTGTTTGTGTGGCTGCTGGGGTGATGCTGTTTAATGGATGTCTCAATGCATAGCATGGCTCCACCATACTGGCCAAAAAGAGTTTGATTAATACTACCAAGGTTTTCCTCTGGTGAGTAACAGTGAGTCAAGCGCTCACCTGGGAGATGCAGATGAAGTCTTGTAGTATTGGAGCTAACATTTAAGAGCTGAGCTTTTCTGGCCAAGTAATAATTACTGAGATTCCCTGGAAAAGTCTGTTTTCCTCACCTAGGTAAACACTATTATCCCCACAGCATGTTTTGTTGGGCTTTTCATCTTTGGGTGAGAGAAAATGATTCTGTTTGAGGATAAGGATAGAGAAGAGAAACAACTAATGTTTGTTCTACTACAAGAGAATAAGGCAAGAAAATTTGAACAGACTCGGAGGCAATTGTCTATGCATTTCTATAAGTAAAGTAGTAATATAAGGAAAAACAAGTAAACATTTAAACAAACCTGGAGAATGAGTACTAGGCTAAGGTAGGTGGAAAAAGAAGTGTTACTGTGGCATAACAGCAGATTGCCGATAGTTTGTTTCTGTAAAGTAATGAATTTAACCATAGAATGACTGCATGTTTTCACCAAGAACTCCAGCTGAACCCACAGCTTTTCCAAAGCGTGAGAAATGTCTTTATTCTTATTTTCAGCCTGAGTGTATCACCCCAGTGGTATTTTTAACATTTTATTTGTTTTTTGTTTTTGTGGGTACATAGTAGGTGTATATACTTCCGGGGTACATGAGATGCTTTGATAGAGGCATGCATGTGAACTAATCACATCATGGAGAATGGGGTATCCATCCTCTTAAGCATTTGTCTTTCGTGTTACAAACAATCCAATTACCCTCTGGTAGTTATTTAAAAATGTACGATTAAGTTATTATTGACTATAGTCACTCTGTTGTGCTATCAAATAGTAGGTCGTATGCATTCTGTCTATTTTTTGTATCCATTAACCATCCACACCTCCTTCCCAGTGGTGTTGACTGTATTGTCATTATTATTTCTGCTGGTAATGTTAGAAAAGTTTGCTTCCTTGTTTTTTAAATCCACCATCATTTTTTAGACATTATTTCACTATAAAAGTTATTTATTAGTTCGGTTTGTTGAAGCAAATAAATGAAGCAAGTTTGTTATTTTTTGGAACACAGTGTATTTTTGCAGGTTACACACCCCAACCTCCCTCTCTCTGGTCCTGTCATTATTGATGATCTGCTGGGCCTATTGGTGCCACGTAAGCACTGATAAATATTAGTCTGTGGCCTTTTATGTCTGTTATCCTTGCCCAGCCACTAACAAGGATGTGACCTTGAGCAAGTCAGTTCCCTTAATCTCTTCATCTGAAAAATGAGGGGGTTGAAGTAGATGAGTTTTGAGGTCTTTTCAATTTAGTTCCCATTTCTATGACTCAAGGCAAGAGTGTTTATTCTTTTTAAATTCGTTTCAGCAGATTATCAGCCCTAGTGCAAACTTAACATGCAAGAAATCATGGCCCACTATAGGGTACTCGGAGTAAAAATTGCCTCAGCTTTCAAAGAGCTTATGAAGAGGGAAGACAAATTACACAAATAACCATTCGAATTGGTAGAATATGCAAAGGGAGTAGTACAGAATGTGCTTATAATATTTAAGAAAGGCAATCTCCTTTGTGAAATGCTTCATAAGTGAGGTGGCATTTGGATGGCCCTTGAAGAAGCTACATGTAGACCTTGAAAGAAGGGAAGAAATACTATGAACATGGTGGGGAAGGGTAGGACTACTGGAGTGTAGAATGGAGTGTAGAGATAAGAGTAAGAAACTGGATTGGTCTACACTGTAGCACCTTTGAATACCAAACTGAGAAGTTTGAATTTAATCCAATAAGCAAGGAGGACTGTAAGCAAAGAAGTGATATGTTTAGAAGGGCACTTTAGAAAAATTAATGTAATGTTTGTGTGAAGGATGGATAAGAGGTAAAGAAAAACTGGAAAAAGTGAAACCAGTCAGGAGTCTTTCATAGATGTCCTCACGGTAGTTAGCAAAGGGAGAAATAGGGGTTAGTATAGAAAACAGGTATTGATTCAGGAATCATAATCAGAGTAAAATCCACCGGATTTGGCAGCTAAATGGATATGGGAAGAAAAAAAAAACCAGAAGAATTAAAGATGACTCCCCAGCTATAGGCCCACGTAATGGGTTGAAGAGAATACCAATGGCAGGAAATGGGACATCTAGAGAAGAAACAGATTTTAAAGGAAAGACAATGAATTCAGTTCTAAACTTTCTGAATTAGAAAAGCCTGTGTAGTATTTGATGGAGATGTGAGCTTCTCCAAGTTAGAGACCCTGTTTTATTCATCCGGGTGCCTCGTAGATACTATATAAACACTGAATGAATGGGCAAAGGAACAAATGAACCAATAACCAGCTGTTATTTAGAATGTGGGTGTGCAGCTCTGTAGAAAAGCTAGAACTAAAGATAGCAATGTGGATGCTCTCCATGGAGAAGTGATTGTTGAGGTCAGGGAGGGCTGGGGAAGACAAAGCCTGAGGAGAGAATCTAGAGGAATGTCTACATTTAGAGAACAGAAGGAAGAAAAGAAGCCAGTGAAGAAGGCAGAATAGCAGACTGAGGTGTAGGAAAAAAATTAGGGTAATTCAGTGTCCTCAGGGTTAGAGGCTGTGGAAGAAAATGGAGCATTTGCAGTGAAGGACAGAGGAAATGTTCAGAACATGCCCAGATCAACGGGTGTCACTACAATAGGTTAAGAACTAAGCAATAAAGAGAGAGAGACTGAAGTGGAATCAGGAATATCAGAAATGTGGTAAAAGTATACAGTGGAACACTATGCAGCCTTCAAAAAGAAGGAAATCTTGTCATTTGCAAGAACATGGATGAATCTAGAGGTCGTCCATTATATATGGGGAAAAAATATGCTCTTTTTGTACTAGAAAAGCCAGGCAAAGAAAAACAAATACTCACTTATATGGGGAAATCTAAAAAAGCTTAATTTATAGAAGCAAAGATTAGAATGGTGGCTGCCAGAGGCTGAGGAGACATCAGCCAAAGGACACAAAATTTTAGTTAGGAGGAATAACTCCAGAGATGTACTGTACATCCTCATGACTATCATTAATAAGAATGTAGTATATATTACTGAGAGTAGGTTTTGAAGTGTTCTCACTGTGAAAAAATTATAAATACATGAGGTAATTCTTTTTTTTTTTTTTTTTTCTTTTTTTGAATGCAGAGCTCCACCAGTGTGGCGGGAGGAAGTGCACAATGATTGGTCTGTTTCTCTGTGGAAGTGTTCAGGGTACACCCAGTTTTACTTTGCATATATTTACGAAACATCTGCCCTTTTCTTATTCTTAAGTCCTTCCCTGCCACCAGCCCCCTTTCCCTTTTTCCCTGGTTTCTTTCTTTGTTGTTGTTGGCTTGTCTAACTTTTTCATTGGAGCTTTCATTTTCCGGTTGAGGAGCGACTTCATCAGAGTGTATAATTTTAATAGAGAGAGAGAGAGAGAGGAGGAAAGGGGTGGGAGGGGAGAGAGAGAGACAGAGAGAGAGAGAGAGAGAGGAGAATGAGAACGAGAACTGAAAAGAGAGACTGAGAGGCCAGAGCCTGGCAAATCAACCTTTGGCATGGTGACCAGGAGGAAGGTTCTGGTCGGGAGTTTGCCTCTCTGAAATCCGCTGGAGTCAGCCAGTGTGCTGCTGCCCTCTAAAGGCTCCAGGGAATAGTGCATCGCCACAGAGGCTTGAAAAGACTTGCCCTCAGATGTGCCATGTTTATAATTCTTTTTACAGAGCCTCAAAATGTATCTTCAACTAATTATGACAGGACTTATTCTTTCCTCCTTAATAAACTATGAACTGCAAAAATGGGGTCAATTCACAGCACCTGTGCATGTCTAGGCATAAACGAGTGCTATATTTTAGGGTTTCTCAGCTCCAGAAAAAGGAGTCCAGAGAACCATTAGAAAGGGTGAGATAGGACATGAATTGCCTCTGAGGATGATGAGCAGTTCTCTGTTATCTGGACAGTTGGGAAACAGCCCAGTGGTATAAGGGCAAGTAAAGTGACATAAGACAAATAAGGGGGTAAGCCAAAAAGGTTGAGTTTTTAACATTTCCTGTTTATAGAGGTAGCTCCAATGCCTCTGTGCTATGAATATTCTCCCAAAGTGATCATTGAGGCAACAGGAGGATGTGGTACAAGATGTCAGTCAGGAAGCAAGAGCGAATCTAGGGAAGGAAACAAGGGCATTGATATGAAGAACAATATAATTTTTGCAGTGTTAAAAATAAAAGAGTAATATATTGGTGGTTTTGCTATGTCTTTATGTTTGAAAGAAAGCTTTCTTAATTTTCTGAAGTACACATCTGAAAGTATCCTAGGCCCTATCTACGAATATCAAAAATAAACATTTTTTTCTGCTAGGTGACATATGTCATTACTGTTTTGTCGCTATATTTAAATGAATCGTGAGGGCCAGCCTAGCCTTACTGAGCAAAATAGTCCTGCTCTTATTAAATGCCCCTCATAGACTTAAAGCAAAAGCAGCCAGTCAGGTAGTTTTGCTACCTTGCTGCATAAAAAGTAGGAAACTTCATTGGGATTCAGACTATGACTATTCTTAAAATACACTTTAATTTCAGCTTCCTTTCATTCTGTCCACAGTCAATTATTGAATGACAGCTTTGTCTAAGCTACACTGCTTAATAGTATAGACAAGGCAGTAAACTCTGGGAGGGAAGGATCCAGGCCTGTTTTATTCTTTAGCCCATGTTGGCACATCATGGGGACATCATAAATATTTGTAAAATGAATATGTAAATGAATGAATGACAGGAGAGAAGGAAGAAGGAAAGAATAGATGAACACAAGGAATACAAAAATAACTAAGACATTTCCTTACCTTCAGAGAGCTTACAGTCTCACAAGAGGGATATGCACATAAATAGCCATTATTGAAATAAAATTGAGTGAGTGAAATAAGATTAAGAAAAAAAAAAAAAAAGAGCATAGGCGTTTCAGAGAAAGACCTAGGGAGGAATTCAGTGTTTGGAATGAAGTCCTATCTGGCAGAGAGGAATCAAGACAGTTACAAGATGAAGACGCCATTTAATAAGTATGAGGGATAATAAGTATGATTTCAACAGGGCAGCGATGAAATACGGGATATTCAAAGCAAGAGAAAACTTGAGCAAAGATGTAGACCCCAGAATGTAGACTCCCAGGATATTCTGGAGGATATTCAAGAAATCTGAGGGTCCAGTATGGCCAATATATAGGACACATGAGAAAAGTTAAGAGGAGATACGGAACCAACCTTGAGTGTCAGGCTAATGTAGTCCTCTTAGATTTAGTGAATGCAAAGAAACAGGACTAGAGGAATGAAGGAGGATGGAGAGCCAGTTAGTAAACAATCGACTAGATAAAAAGCAGTAAGGTGATTGCATTGAAATTGGAATGGAAACACAGATGTGAAAAAAAATACGAAGGAAGCAGAACTATAAGAACTTATTGATGAGTTGACTTTAAGGCAGAGGAAGGTGTATAGTGATGCTGAGGTTTCCAACCTGGTGGTAGACAACAGTGATAGAGATATGGACCTCAGAGAAAGCATTGGTTATAGTAAAGGAGTTGGGCTTTAGCAACTTCGATCTTGGCTACATCTTTAGACTGAAAACCAGAATACCAGCTCCTTCAGGGTCCATGTAGACACTCAAGATTGGGGGGTTACTCCCATAGTCACCATTCAAAAAACAATTGATAAGGTCTTATAATTTGTTGCTTCTCTTCTATTGGCTTCCTCTATACTGAAAAAGATGTCTGAAAGCCTCTCTTCTATTCTAATCTTTATCATGCCATCTCTGCCTCCTGCCCTCTGAAGAAACAGATTTTATTTCACAACCTGTTGGACTGAAAACACAGTATACTAATCATAACACCATATTCTGCGAGGGCAGATTTAACTACCCAGCACAACAAATTTAAATACAAAATATTCTGCATAACAAGTCCATTACCATGCTCATAGAAACAAGGGAAACATGGAAACAAATATACTTACAACAAATTCTGTACCACACATAGTCTTCTACAAATAAAAAAAATGCTTTTTCTGGTCACCGTCCACATAATGATAGAAAAAGACACAAATCCAAGGGAATTGGAGAAATGTTCAGAAACTATTAATAATAATCCAGTTTGGCTGTGGTCTAGGGTACGAGTAGTATAAGCTAAGTATTTGTTAATTTCATATCAGTTGCATTGTCCTGGGGAGAGGAGACCTGAGCTGACTGATAGCTGTGCTGTTTTACTTCCTATTCCTGACCCCATATAACAATTAGTAACAATTACTTTCTAATTCCCTTCACCCTTCTCTTCCTCGTGTCCCAAACACACAGTCATACCCTAAACTCCAGGACGATGCACCAAATCAAAAATCTTAGACGTAGGATGAATAAAGAGTTGGAGTAGAAAAATCTCTGCATGACACCTTCCCTCTTCAGCTACTAGAATCTAAGCTCTTCTTTTCACTTTTCACTTGCTGCTGTAACAGAAACCTCCCATCACTACCCTCTCGTCTGTACAGGCTGCAAATTTAAATTGTGATTTGAAATTTATTTAAGATAAAATCTAAGTAAGAGCAAGAAAGTTGAATGTTCCATAATGTATTCCATGAGTAGAAATTTAAAGTTGGAAGGAACCTTTAAGGCCTTCTAATCCAAGCCCTTTATTTTACAGATGAGGAAACTGAAGCCCAGAGAGGTGAAGTGAGGTGCCCAAGGCCACACAGCAAGTTAGAGGCACAGCTAGTACCGTAGCTCAAGTCTCCTGACTCCCAGTCCAGTGCTCCTCCCATTACTCCACGAGTCCTGTCTCTAAGCTTCCTGACAAATGCTAGAACGGTAAAACTTCCACTAGTATTTTTCCAGACCATGTTAAAACTCCTAAGGGGGGAAGAGGGATGCTTTCTTGGATAATGTCAGCCATACGTAGCTCAAGCTGTCTAAAGTTCTGGGACAGGGTCTTTTTATGCAGCCAACAGAGTCCAAATGTGGTGCTGTTTGCTTGGCCCATATGCTTTCATGTGTTCCCAGTTAGGCCATTACTGGAGGGAAAAAAAACAAGAATCAGCTTGTTTTAAAACAAGGGACATACTGGACTCCCTCCCATCCCCCTTCAGAAAAAAAAAATCAAGTTATCTTTAACAGATTCTAAAAATGCCTTTTCCCAAATATGCAGTCAGTTCCTTCAAAGGGCCCTTTGTTTATTTTCAGGAAGAAACCCAAGACAGCTGAAAACCAGAAGGCATCTGAGGAGAATGAGATTACTCAGCCGGGTGGATCCAGCGCCAAGCCGGGCCTTCCCTGCCTGAACTTTGAAGCTGTTTTGTCTCCAGACCCAGCCCTCATCCACTCAACACATTCACTGACAAACTCTCACGCTCAAACCGGGTCATCTGATTGTGAGTACACCACTAAGGTGATGGTGTCTTCGCAGTGCGGAGTAGTGCTTCTCCCCTGGGTTCTGGCTTTTTTAGTTTCAAAGCAAGCCGTTTGCATTTGGTCTTCTCAGGCAGCCAAAAGTAACGTGCCACCATTTTCATTCAGCCAACATCTCTATGTTTTCAAAGCTAGAGTATATTTAAAAGCCAGGTGACATGCCATTTGGCCTTAAAAGGCTAATTAATTACATAAACCACGTTCTTTTCATAGCTCTAACTTAGAAAAAGAAGTTTTGTTGCTGGTATTCATTTATTCTTGATCTGGATAATGGCACTTCCATAATTACTAAATTGAACAACCAAACATGGACCTCAGAAGGCCAGTTAGACACAAGGAAACATCCATTTTGAAATTACATAACACAAGTCAGATTTGCATTAGTTATTGGAGTCTCATGTAGCTTGGCTGAATTTCTGTCTTTCCAGTTTTTAATTTATTTTGAAGTGGTTAAAGGATAGCATAAATTTACAGAAGAAAAGAGAATGGCTTCCAAGAATTCAGAAGCCACCCAGACTTCACACAGCCAATGAGAATCCAGGTTAAAAATATTTTTTAATTAAAAAAACTGCCTAAGGGCTAAATTTGGAAATGGGCAGCTTAATGAGATCGTCGCTATTGAAATCACTTCTTTGCTGTTTATTTTTGCCATCTTCCCACTAATCTGGGAGTCACTTCTTCTAGTTCTATTTTAAGCAAGTTGATAAATCACGTTTAGGAGATTTTTTTCTTTTTCTGAAATGTAACCCAATACTTCAGAGAAAAAGAAACATGTGTGTTGACAATGGAAAGGAATGAAATAACTTTGGAGTCGAATCCAAAAGAATATTCCTTTTAGTCTTAAGATGCCCAACAACTCTTCTGAACTGATCTCCATAAAGGATGTCTGGTAACATGCAAGTAACTGGCATATTCTTCTTTAAAAAGAGTAACATAAGACCCACAGAGTTTTATTTCAAAAATAAAATTTTGTCCACAAAGACAAAAATTATTAGGAAATGAGATTCTAAATCTTTTATTGTTATTTTTCTGACAGAACAAATATAACATTCTGCAAAGAAGGCAAGAGACAGATTGGTCCAGGAGATTCCATTCTCCACTTGCTTCATCCTGATAATCTCCAAAGAGAGGGAAATGACCTGGGGGCAGTGTTGGGGTGAAGAGAGCTTGTTCTACTTAAGGTTGGGCTAAGACCATATTCTAACTGTCACTAGAAAATGAAAAGGGAAGTAACATGAGCCAAATCTCTGTGGCCTATGTGATTTGAACAGTCGAAGTTGCGGCTTCTGTAGAGAAACCAGGGGGCAGAAGCAGGGACTGTGTCCTGAGGACCGTCCTAATCGTCACATCCTTGGACCTTCTTGCCTGGCAATCTCCAGTGTAATAGTAATGACAGAAAGAATTGGAAAGTACCATGGCACAGTGCCCAGTAGGCATGTGCACACTGTCCCTTCCCACCAGGAAAATCGCCTGTTCCTGTGGTGAAGGGCCTGGAGTTTCTACACGCAAGTCTTCATTACCTGGCTTTCTGCCGCACCTTATGGGTGTGGATTACATAGAATTGCCTTAGCCCAGAAATCTTCTGTTGCAGCAAAAATGAATGTTTTGCTGAATAGAAAAAGCACTGGGCTTCACTTACTGTGCTTTATCATAAGCATCCTCTGGCCAGGCCTTAGCATTGGCATGAACTAAGTTTAAGGAACAGCGTGAGTGTGGTGTCACCATACATCTACTTGGTGGCCCTGGGGAAGCCAATGGATGTGAGCTCAGTTGGAAGAACAAACCAGGAGGAGAGACTTGATCTCCAGCTGTTTTTAGACAGTTTGATTTTGCCATTAACATGTGTAAGTCTTCTCTGTTCCAACCTGTTGTTTAAATTGATTATACTTTCCTCCAAATATATTTGGATTGTAGTTTGTCCTGATTTGAGCCTACACTTAGAAGAAAATTGTTTTTAGGAAAGATTCACAGAAATCTGTCCATTTGGAGATTGCTTGAGAGAAGACAGGAAAAAGGTTTATTTTAAGCTGTTAAAATTTTTGGATGCTCTTCTTGCATTCAAGAGGATTTTTTTTTTTTTTTTTTACTTTCAAATGTCATTCTTACCATAGATTAATTTAAAAGCCTAATTTCTTTAAGGTAAAATATTCAGTTCCTATTTAGAACTAACAGATTTGGGGCATTTAAAAATAGTGCCCTTGACTTGTTAGTCTCTTTAACTTCAGAAACATTCCACCAGTGTGTAGTGTTCCAAGCTTTCACAAGTGCCTGAATTTTTATAGCACCTTTTTATTTGTCATGTGTTTAGCAAAATTATTCTTAGTCATGTTTTAATGCCCATTTCCTGTCAGTATGATCCTTCCCAATTTACAGATGAGAAAACTGAGAAAATTGACACCCAGGTAGATGAAAGACTCGCTTGTGGTTAACTCATTTGGGTACTGAGGGGTGTTTATGGATTTACTCTCATTGTGAGAGCATTTCTTATTGGAATTCTCTGTTCTGAGCCCAAAGATGGCATTCCTGGCTCTGAGCAGGCATCTTGAAAATGTGCAACTACTCATATTGGTGACTGGGTTGTAAAACATGATGGATAAAGCATCCCCACAAAAGAAAAGTCAGCTCTGCATGTGAACTGACGTGGTTGGGTAACCCACCATCTTTTTTGCATATGAGGGACACGGGCTGTGTTTTCCAGCAAAGATGACAAGTCTGACCCCCTAAATTCTCAGTTGGCTATTTGACTTCCTGAGCCTCTTCAAATTTTGCAAAAGATCCCAGTAGTATTCAAAACAAGAAGAAATATAGTTGAGATATGCTTTCTGTTGTGAGATGATGAGGTTAATATTGCTGCTAAAATGTATGTTGCTTTGCAGTGCACCTACTAACACAATTCCCTTTTAACAGTATTCCCCCATTACCCCCTAGCTTATCATCTCTTCACCATTGCTAAAAATCTAATGGTAAGCAAATTCACATGGTGATAATGGAAGGCATTAAGATGAGTTATGGAATCTGAAGGGTAAAAAACACCCTAGGTGTTTGATAGAGCAGTTCCCCACTAAACAGGCTGAGTATGAGCTGAGCCAAGTGCTCCCTTTAAATGCTTAAGCAGAACTAAACCAAGTCAGTAAAGCAGACGAAGCTCTCCATATGAAAAACCTTTCTTGACAGCTATCAAGCTGTAGCACATCACAGTCATATACATGTGATAGACGCGACCAGAACTTTTACTTGCATATTTCTTCCATTTTGTTTTCCCCCAAATAAGGCTCCCATTGAAAGAAGTGATTTTCCTCCCTGTGGCCGTCCTCCCTACTTCTGCTGTAGATCCACCTATTCTGATGTCTTTCTTTTGTTGCGAGCTGATATCCGTGGTGACTCACCTTCCCATGTTTTACACCGGCCTCATCAGACTGTCTCATTTTTTGTGTCCTTGCCAAGATGCACTTACGCTTGAACAGTTTTTATTTATTTTTCATTGAACCTTTACACATTTCCAAACTGTTGTGTGGGTGGGTTTAACTTTAGCTCTGTAGCATCACTCTGCTGGGGCTGGACACTCACAGAGGCCAGTGGGCTCTTCCTTTTCCAACTCTTGCCATCCGCCTTCCTTGGCCTCCCCCTCCCAACCATTTGCTTCACCCACCCGAGTCTCTGTGATTAAAATTTTTAGTACATTTGGCTCATTTTGAACTTTTAAGCAATTTTTTAGAGAACAAAACAGAGGATTTTTATGGCAAACTCCATTAATGCCACATTAAGGCTGACATTTTAATTACCCCAAAGTCAGGAAATGCAAAGTTCAGGTTCCCACAGCAACAGAAACTGTCCCCTTGAGTGCTGGCATCACAGCAGATTCTTTCATTCCCTGATTACACAACACTGGGTGTGGGGACATTGTTTTTATCCACGTATGTGGAAAGGAGCACAGCTTTTATCCTTTGATTTTTTCCTGTAACTACAGTTGAGGATATGGGTCTTTAGCTTCCCTCCCAAAACCATCTATACGTATTATCCTGAAACGGAAGACTATTATAGCTCTACATGTGCACACGGACAGAATTAAAGTTGCTGTGGGAACATTAGCTCTGATTTCCGGACTTCCGTGCCAGTCACATTTAAACCATAATGTTGTAATTTTTGGCATGTAATAAATGTGCATTTCATGTACACAGACAGAAAGAAGCATAAAATGTATTTTAAAGAGCAATTAATTACTAACTTTGTGATTAAAAAACATTTGGTGCATGTTCCTTCCCATTTAGCATCAGCTGCTGGTCTTAGCCAGGCCTAATAGATGACATACTGTGTCTCATCCTGTAACTCAGATGTACTTACTGTATGTTCCCGTTCTTCCAGATAATTAATTCCCTTAGTAAAGCTGTAGGGGGAAAACAAAATGGAAGGAATATGCGAGCATGTAAATAGGGTAAGGGATATTTTGAAGGAAATTATTCATTTCTGCGAATAAACCTTTTAGTCCCTGATAACGAGCCAGAAATCTGCTAAGTGGGTGTAGACAAAGGTTTCTGGCCACCTTACAGCATCTGGTTCAGGGCCATAAGAACAACTTGAAAGCAGATTTCCTCTTGAATTCCAGGCATGCCCACTGGGGGAGTGAGTTTACTCTGTAAAAACTTATAGGCATAAGGCTTAAAAAGTTGTTTTACTCTATAACAACTTTTTAGTCTATGCTGTATTCAAACTGGAAAGTAAAAGTTATAGGAAATCAGGTAAGATGAGGACTTTGCTAAAGAACCTCTGACTTAAAGAGTAATTTTGTTTCTTCCTTTATGTTTAAATCTGGTTTACCCATTTGTGTTAGAGAAGGAAGTGTTTCAAAATAACTGTTTGAACGGGTTTGTAAGTGAAAGGAGTTAGTAGCAATACTCTACGGTGCCGTGTTTAAAAATGCAAATGCTTGAGTATATATTTGAAACCAAATGAGATAAAAAACTTT